ATATATATATATATATATATATATATATATATATATATATATAAACATAATATATTATTTCTATCATTATATAAATTATCTTTTCCATCCTTGTGACCAACTATATCACTGTAATTTTTTTTCTACTTACATCAATGGCTTCCGCGAGAGATTTGCCGTAGAGTCTCTCGTAAGTTTCTTTAATATCGCCTAGATCGATCTCCGAACGCGTTACAATTATGCGTATCAACGTCGAATCTGTCGTGCCAATTCCACGCATGGCTTTGTATAATCTTTCCGCGAAATAAGCTGTCTTATCACGGGTGCATTTTACTAAAAGATAAAACCATTTTTTAGTGAGAACATCTATAAAAGGCTTTCAGATTAAACAATATGTATTATATAACTACACACACATTTGTATATAGTAATTATTATTACTAAAATCACTATTGACACTATTTCTCGCTAAATGAAAGGGAAAATGAACACGTGTTGATTATATTTTGCAATCAGATATCTAATTGTAGAGTAAAACAGTAATTTTCAAAGATGTGCATGCAAATTATATCCGTTAAACATATTTCTCTCTTCTTAATCTACTTTCTTCATAATTTTGCCATGTTTATTTTCCAACTATTTATTAATTATCGAGAAAAAAGCATAGTTTTCGGAACATTTTACAAGTATGCTCGAGCGCAATGAAGTGTTCTTATATGTTTTTTTTTACTTAGAAATAGCACGCAACAATTTTCAGCGTATTATATCTCGCTTCTGAAGTCACAATCTAATATGACTGCGCTGAGGAGCGCAATAATGTTAAAATAGAAAATGAACGATATAGCGGGTGACACAGCGAGTAAATCATTAAAATATTCATTAATATTCAATTATATTCCTTACCGACGGCTAGGTAGCCATCTTCAAGAGAGCCTGAAAACTCTCGCTTTATAGCGTCCTCCAAGCTGTGTCCGGCGATGCGTTCGTACTCCTTGAAGATTCTTCGTAATTGCGGATAACTCTTAGTAATTAGAATCGCATTGAAAGTACTTTCGTCAGTACCCCACTGTCCCTCACCAGCGGCCATGAGCCTTTCGGCGTCCTCAAGTGCAGCCTCCTCGTCAACGTCGGGATTCTCGTTTCTACTGGCCTAATGATTAACAGAGGAGTAGAGCAAAGCTAATGTAGAGGTCATATATCAAGTTGATGTTGTTGACATCGATATTGGCTGCGAATGCTTTATTTTTCAGCAACGCTACTTACACAAGACAATGACACCAAAAGCCTCTTAAAGTGGCCGGAAGTGTCGCTCTTGAGATCATCTTCCAGTTCCTTCTCGTATACTAAAAAAAAAAAAGAGTATATATATCATATGTAATCTTTCGGAATCTTTCTTTCATTGAGCTGAGAATATTTTTCTACAATGTATCGAGACGTACAATCCTTGTAGATGGCCGATATCGTTTTGATACCGTAATTGCTCAGAGACGCGAGAACCTCGATGAGCGCGTCTTCGTCGGTACCCATACCGGAAACGGCGTGGTGCAGTTCTTTGGCGTATAACTCGGGAAGAGGCGTCATCAGGGCGCAGATAACTTTTTCAAAGTTTCCGGAAAGCTCCGATTTTAACTCGGAAACAAGGTCCTTGCCGTACATTGTTTTAAATTTGTCTGCAATTTCCAATCTCTGTACGACACCTCGATGAGCCAGAACGTCGATGATGGCTTGCTCATCAGTACCAAAGCCCTTCATGGCGGTTCGTAGGAGGTTGGCATCTTCTTCGGGATCGAATGGTTCGGCCGGGTATACGGTAGGCGTGCACTGAGAGCATTTACAGGTAAAATATACTTTCCGGGGAAATAAATATTTTTACGTTATTTATGTTTCTAACGTTATAATTGTTACTCTTTGTAGAGAACAAAAGCTCTTCTCAGAACAAAAGCTTTGCAATAAAAATGTGGCTATGTGTGGGGCGAGTCGTTTGTATTTAGTCGTTATTTCGATGCGAGCGTCATCATAATATATCAACATGTAAATTACCTGTATGTGATAATATTGACTAGCTGCCATCTTGCGGATTATATCTGAAAACATTTTTAATTTATGCGTGTTATTTTGCGTACAAACGTATATACAATCCAATAAAAAAGAAAGAGAGAGAGAGAGAGAGAGAGAGAGAGAGAGAGAGAGAGAGAGAGAGAGAGAGATTTATTAAGGAAAGAATTTGACCAAGTTTGAAAAATTGGTATTATTGATCCATCAACAGTCTGATCTGTATAATCTTTTCTTTCGGGAGAACAAATTTTTTCTATTTGATTATAAATATGAAAGGCGACTTTTAAATATAATAAATAATCTACTTTAGATTTCTCAACAATTAATTTCCACTAGAATTTTTCTTTGTGTGATAACTATTATTTAACGATTCTGGTATAAATTTTGAAGAATTTTCATGCAATATGAATGCAATTTTGATTTAATTAAAATACATTATATTGTAATTGTGGTTTTAACGTGAAAAGAGTGCGACGGTAACTCTCATCTACGGTGATTGAGACGCGTAAACCGACGCAATCGGCGAGAGTAACGCCCTTGACTCGTTTCAGATATCGCGCCACGTTAACGGATGATGATCTCATCGGACGGTATTCACTAAATAATGCCTCTTATTAAATAACTATTGAAATGGGCGTATGCTTTGTAATTTGAAGGACGACGAAAAAATACACGCTACTTCCGAATACCGCAGGATTATATCGATCGGACCGGCAAAGTGACACTCTGGGTGTGGCATGCTTTACCTTACCGAAGATCGCTACTTCCTTTGCGGACTGGTACCGGTTCTGGACTGACTAACTGTTCGCGTTCAGTTCGCGGCACGATGATGACGAAAAGCGTTACGGAAGAGACGAGAAGAGGAAAGGAATTCGTTGGTGGGGCAATGTATGTTTGTATTCGTCGACGACACATCGATGCACTGAGATGATAGTTGGTATATTCTTTGCAGATGGTAACGGAGATTTAAATCAGTCGAGCTACCTTGTATTTTCTCTTCGGTTTTCTCTTTTTTTCCCTTTTTTTAATTCGCTTTAACTTATCGCCAATTGATTTTGCTTCCGAAAGATCCATACAGACACGTGTGCATCTTGTCTATGAACAATCCGTAAACTTTTCAAAGTTTCTCGGTAAGGACAATATTGTAATATTGCTAACATGTGCATCTCAGATGTGATGCACACTGTGCTTAATCTGCGACAACGGGGTCGAGCGGAACAGGTGAGATCGATAATGATTGTTCGACTTGTCAACTTTTCAACGAGATTGATTTTTTAAGGTGAAGCATTGATGACTTATGATAAAATGCGAGCCTTCAATATGCTAAGAAAGGATCAGGGTGCGGTTTAAGCTATCGATCCTAGGTGAACGTCTGTATATAGTGTACATTAATGTAATTGTTGGCGAATTGCGCAAGTATTGTGCATAATCCATTGTTCTTATTCGTCTTCCCACCAACTCTCAGAAAGAATGATTCATACAAAATTTAATGATGCTTCAGAAATGCCTCAGAGGATGATGGGATGATTATGAAGTGTTATGATATACAAAAATACAAAAGTTGGACGAATTAATAATCATGTTAATATTGCCTCCGACAACAAATAAATTAATACGGCAATTAATACGGATTAATTACATACATACACACATACACACACACACACACACACACATACACATACACACACAAAGAAAATCTTTATATATATAATCTTATTTCTACGATTGTAGAATGTGATAATACAAATATAATTTTAATGTTGCTACTTACGTTAATGAGAAAGTTCCCTTTCGCGTAGAATGCCGATTACGTTGGAAGTGTATGGGAACGTGGGTACTTGGTCGCTGGATGGAAGCGTTCTGACGACGGTGATATTAAGGACAACGCGTTGTCCGGGATCTGCTGGTGGGGTCGACGACGTAATGTCGAGTAACAATGACGTGGAAAACGTGATATCCTGTAGTGAGCAAGAGATGGCGAGTGAATCATATTCGCCAAACCGACGCCGTGCTGCGAGATCGATCGAAAGACGAAAACAAAAACGTCACGAGCTATAGAAGAAAAGACGCTGAAACTATCGACATTGAAAATACTATACTATATTTTTCGCTTACACATTATTTAATCGGATTATAAAGTGACAATTTTCACTGCGCTATTTTCATGTACTATACTTGTGTTTTCGCGACTCCTTAGCAACATCACTTACGGAGTTATATATGATTCATAATCCTTGATTGAATGAGACCGTATCGTGACGCTTTTGAGCACGTAGAATGCGTGACGGAATCATCGCACACAGAGTGTCTCGGAAATAGCGTAATTTTCTACAGGCGGAGGAATATTGTATCTCTAAACTAAACATATCGATTTTGAGTAAGTATTTTAAAGTAGATCTGATTTTAATGAAATTAATTCTTTTCAGTGAATCTGTATAAAACAAGGGGAAAGAGCAACGTCCCTTCAAATCAATCTCGACGCAGAAAGAGACAAATTTCGGATTTTTTTAAAAGTCGAGACAAAGTTGAACTAGGCGTTCTTCTATCTGCATATGTGACATGTATCTTATGTATGTACACATGTATGATGTCAGATGTGCACAATACGCATACCTGATGAAACGCTAAATTTACTCACGCGACATTGCAATCAGAGTTTGGTGTGACGCATTCAAAAGAAATTCTCCGGTAAATTTAAAGCGACACCACCACAAGGATTGTATTCTTAATCACACTAATGTATCATTCCTCGTCTGGTATTGGTACATAAAAATAAAATTGGTGCCGTCTGAAAATGTTTTATTAAGATTACATATGGCAAGCGAGGCTTTCAGTTTCCAATTCCTCAAATTGAAAATTCATCTCCTCAACATTTTTTCGATACATACATGCATACTGTCGGTACGATAAAAAGTGCATCCTCTAGCATTTTGCACTTGTCTTACTTCCTAATTCTCTACTAAAAATTTGTCTAGGTATATCACCTTTACCACTTTGACAGAATCGGTCAAACTCCTTGTGCGGATCGTTCCTTTACGCGTTGCGTGTGTTTCTCTCTTTCTCTCTCTCTCTCTCTCTCTCTCTCTCTCTCTCTCTCTCTCTCTTTTTCTGTACTATACAACTATAATATAGCGAAGAATACGCGAGCCATAATCATCTGCAATCATGGGTAATCTGATAATGAATCTCTTATACTTTGCAGAATATGATACATAGTTCTCTTAACAATAAAATGTATATTTTCAACACGCATCGCAAGGTCTTGTAAAGATGAAATCAACACACAATCTCTGCGTAATAAAAATTCTTTGTCAAACATATCAATCTCACACTTGACGTCTCTAAATTGTGCGCAGTAAAGAATCATATTACACGCATTTTTAAATCATACGTCGTACTTTCTTGACTATACAGAATGTTCGCGATACAAATCGTAATTTTAACTCTAGATACAAAATTCGAAATATGAATAAAAATGTATGTTTTATAACGCGAAAGTTTAGCGCGAGCTAAACCGGTGAGACAATTTTTGAATTTCAGAAATACAATTTTCTCGGAGAGAAATAAAATTGTATGAAATAATCTCCTACTCCTTCGAGACTTACTTTTCACGCGAGGTGCAACTTTTCAGTTGCAATAATGTAATAACGGACCAGCCTGTATAGTCAAGGCCATCTACCATGTTAAGATTGTTGTCGGACAACAATCCAAATCTTCATAAGGATTATTGTACCTGTGATAAAGAGAAATTGTGTTATGTTCTTGATATGTTTTATGTATTTTTTTTTATATATAATTACTAAATATTATCGCAGGCGCGCAAGTAACACGCAGGTGCTTTGTAACACTGGTAAAGATATTTCTAATGGCAATGCCACTCGCAATAACATAAATAAATTTAACGATATAATAAAGATGTTAAAAACAGATGGAGAGAGAGAGAGGGGGGAGGGGGAGAAGAGAGAGAGGGAGAGGAGAGAAAGGTTTGGACCGTAGTGATAATAGAGAAAGATATGAGTGACTTAATAATAGCATCAGTATTGATCGCAATAGTTGAAATAGCAGCGATAGCAACGATAATATAACAGCAATATCTTTTTATAATCATGATATTAATAATAATCGAGAGACAAAGAAAAACGTAACCGACATGTGCATTCAACATAAATTCTTGTATACAAATTACAAAAGATTTATACAAATTCGCGAGAAGAGATACATGTCTTACAAATTATTGCATATCTTTCAATGGGCTTAATATACGAGTGCGCATAGTTGTTACTTAATTAATAAATGCGCGTGTCGCGATTCGTGCAACAATAATTAGTTTCAGTATATGTCATGAAAAATTGAAGCATCTTTATATCGTTCAGTAAAACATGGATTAATTCGAGTGTAGATTAATTAGAAAACCAATATAGAGTAACAATTCACAGGAAATTATCTACTTTAAGAGTAACAATTCATGATAAAAAATGAAACACAAGAGATTCTTTCCATGTATGTAAAATACAATTTTCACATAATATGGTGTGTGTGTGTGTGTGTATATATATAATACGAAAGTTATCGTATAGTGCAAAGTAAACAAACAATGCCAAATTCCTTAAATAAATAAATTATTTAGCAGTAAGATTACTTTTCTGTTAAATATAACATTGCTCTTCAACTTCCACTACTAATGTACCAACGCTTGGTAGTCGCGAGTTTTATGCGAGTTTGAGTAAATTTTTTTCAAAATATACGTACCTCAGATCTCAACGTGAGAATTTAAAATAATGTAAAAATGATGCAGTTAATAAGCGGATAAATAAAGTGATAAATCGTAATCCACGTATAGATCCGTTACATATCCTCGTTCTACCGAAGTATCGCAAATAGCGACACAATACAGTGCAACATAATTAAATTTGCTTCCCATATCATACATTACAGCGTAGCAACAAGTATCATACGAAAGTTGATCAATCGCGTTATGCCTTTTTGTTCCATAATAAACGCCACGATACGGTGATACAGTATTATACGATATGAGGATACATGACAAATCTACACGTAGCTTTGTAATGACACGTCGCACGATTATTGCAGGATTTAAAGCTAAAATGAACATATGTACAAGCTGTCTCGGACTTCCGTAGCACTTTCTTTCATTTATGGATTTTTTGATCAATTTGTAATCGTTTTTCCGTCGCCCAAAGTTGATTTGCGTCAGTCACTTCTTTTGCAAAACTACTAAATAGTTTGTAAATTTATTCTCAAATTAAAAATCTTGCTAAAGATTCGTTTGAAGAATAGCGTTTTGTTATATTGAACCGCTGCACAAAGTTGTAAAAGAGATAGTAACAAATTTCTTGACAGAAAACTTGTATTAAACAGGCCAAAAAAGATGAAGGCGAGAAAAAGTGCGTGACGTCTAATGAACTCTACCTATCCGTATGTGTGTGTGTGTGTGTATTATGTGTATATACGCACATTCGCATACGCGTGCGCACAGACACACATACACACACACACACATAATCTACATCATATAATAGCATTGTGAAAGAAATAGCAGTTGTGAGGCGATGTAAAGTTTAAGTTAAATAATGCGTGTAAGGAAGTAGCTGTTCTAATTTTTGGAAGAATATTATTTTGTGCTTTTTGTTTTCTCGTTTAGATGAATTATTCGCAGGGAGACGCTTGTACGAAAACATTTCTCTCACAATAACTTGGGACAGCCGTCGTTCTACTGTATTTTATACATAAGAATGGTATTCATGTACGGTAAATTCAACAATAAATGTATGCCTTTTGTATAGAACTTTACAGAATGAGAACACCTAACTTTACCATCTCATAACATTATATGGGAAATTGTACCACAGACTTTTACATAAAAGATAGTGCTTGTGCAAATATTGGAAAATCAATACTGAAAAAATTGATCAAGAATTATGGGCAGAATGTTTAATTTAAATTTAACTTTACTCTTTTATCATCTCTGTTGCTGTTTGTCTTATACCTAAAATAGAAGAATAGAGGTTCTAAAATCGAAATCTGTTGGAGAATAACAAAAAAAAAAAAAAAGAAAATAAAAATACAGCATTATGTCATTTTATATTATAGAATTGTGAATTAGAAAGTATTTTAGAGAATATATAATTAGAAATGAGAGAATGCATAAAAAGATGCTAATACATTCTCCTTCAGTCACATATTAAAAATTATTTAAAATTGATTTTTTTATTGTCCACGTTTTATTTACTCTTTTTGTGTTTTTATATGTACAAGCACTCCTTTTGTGCCATTTTGTAAAAGTTAAGTCGCAACTCTTTTATGATGTTACATTGAGATATGCATGCGCGCCAACAATTTCTGAGGAATCACGTATGTCCTAGACAAAATTCGCAAGCTCAATAAACTGAGAGAAGGAGAAAATATAGTTGAATATTTTTTAATTTCAACAACAAAGCTATATTAAAGTGACTTCGATATTTGATATGAAAATTTGACGCGAGAGCTTGGCCCATCTGCCGCTAGTGAATATTCACGTCCTATTGTAGCAAACATGAAAATACATGGACGACTATCACAAGCCGCAAAACCTTCTGAAACTTATCTCTGAAAACCACACTTAGGAAAGATGTAGGAAAAATGATTTCAACTCACGAAAGAAAATTTCAGGTCACCTTTGCAATTTCACCGACCAAATGAAATGCACATTTTAGACTAGATTTATATATTGCTTCGAATGTGAAGCAATGTCGGAAGAAAGGTGATAAAGTTAAGTGTTCTATCCTATGTAACAATAACACGATTATGGCACGAAACTTATCTCTAAAGAGAAACGCTAAATACTAATGTCAGGTCGATTCATGTATAAATACATGTTAAAGGGAGCAATTTCTTCCGTAATGTACTATTTTCGAGACGACTAATTTCTCGGTGTACCTTATAATTTTTCGCTCGATCAGCGTCCGATTTTTGTTGAACGCCTCTCTTTTGTATTAATCTACATCATCCATTCGCACATCGCGCTTATAATAGTAAATACAAAAGACCTAAGAAAGGCATTCTTAGGTTTACCTATGGCGCAAACTTAAGTTTGCAGTGTATGCGTAATTTCTCGATGTATAGTTACCAAACCCTGTATAAAGCCATCTAATCTGGCGTTTAACGTTTCCAAATTTTGCTTTTGGACCTTATTCGCACTCATCGCAATTTCTAATTGTTCATGAACTACATTCAACATATCGCGAAGTTCTCCATTCTCCTTTTGCAGAGCCTTAGAGAAAGAGATGTTTGTTAGTCAAATAGTAGACGTGACGTTTAACGCAAGTAGTGAGTACTATATTTATACATCAGCAGTATAAGAAGTGGGAGGAGAGGGAGGGAGAGAAAGAGGGGGGAGGGATGGAAGGAGAGAGAGGGGGATATAAACGAAAGAGAATTCTACATACGTACCACAAAATCCTTATTTTTGTTGGCCATTGTGAGAGCTTTGATTTCTTCATTTCGCGTTCTTAATTCACTTTCCAACGCTTCGACTCTTAATCTCAGGGCTTCACTGTTCCCTTCCGCAATTTTGCCAGCCTCCAAATCAGCATATTTGGCTTTTATCCTGGCGTTTTCTTCCTTGTATGATTGCAACTGCCTCTTCCATTCGTCGACATTAGCTGTAGATTCTTGTAACGCGCTTGTTAATCTTGCATTGCTGGTTTTCAGAGTGGTCAGCTCGACCTACAATAAGATGATATAGTTACAGCATACGCACAACATTCTTTTCTAGTTGCCAGAAAACATTCTCAGATCGTACCTCCCATTTTTTTGCATTAGCACAGCTTTGAGCTAGAGCGAGTTTCAGCCTATCGTTCTCATACTTGAGCTGCACCTCAGCGGATTGGCCACTTTGCGTAGAGCTTAATTGCGCCGATTTCCCTTGATGCTGCGGACTATCTGTACTCTGCTGAGAAACACTCTGTGATCTTGAATGGACTGTGTTTTTCAATTCGTCGTCCACTTTATTTTGACAACTACCAGGTAAAGGACTGCTGCTTACCGAAGATACACTGTTCTGAGCGGAAATCATATTGGCATTCGGATTTGGATTGTTTGACGCCGACACGTTGGAGTTGATCATCGAAGAGTTTGGTGGATCGATCAGGTCTTGTTCCGACGACGGCATACCCGATCGAGACGTAATTGGGCTGACATTTGCGCTGGTGGCTGGCGTAACCGAAGAACTGTTTGACTGTAACTTGGCACTAGCTAACTTGGTGGCCTCCTTTACCTCGTGAAACTTTTCGATAAACTGTCAAAGAAGAATATTCCTCTGAGAGCATGATATATATATAAAGATTTGTGCTCCTTACGTATCGATACGAGCAAGCGCGACACAACAAACCTTGCCCAGCTCAGCCTCGGATGAAAAACCCAGACCGTACACGGTATTTGCTCTAACATCCGACCACTGGCCAAATTTCTGTGATGTCTTTGTGAAAGTCATATTCGGTGTAATCGTGCTATTTATCACGGCCTAGAGGATAAAAGGTACATTTGTATATATGTATGTATTGCGTGCATGCATGGTATGTATATTTGCGAGTTGTGATTAATAGTCACCTTTGTTCCTTCAACTGAGATTATTCTATATAAACTTCTGGTGGAATCATAGAAGAATGAAACCGATACTGCCGCTGTTGATGCAGATACCCAAGACCGCTTGGTTTTTGGGTCAATGTGAAATACGTGCGCTTTGCACGTAAAGATTGGCTGCTCACTGCAATCAATTTAGGTGGTAACAGAAGATGTACATAATCTTTTACATGTGTCATACAGAACATCTATTTTTATCTGACCTGATTAATGTACGTTCAAAGATACATTATATACAGAGTTGTTGCATGAAATAACAAAGAGAGAATGCACAATAAAATGTAGAAACAGCAATGCTTACTTATAATGTTAATAATGTTAAATAAAAAAAAAAGGAAACATTTTTTCGGGTGATTATAATAGAGAGATTAATACATGTGATGCTTTGTCGTTCAAATAAATACTTAATACATTACTTGTATCGACATTATGCGGAATAACCTGCATAAATGCAGGTTTTCAAAAGTCGACGTCTTTCGTCTTTGAAATTTCTTCGTCAACTTGACGCGCACCGACTCTCGATATACAAACAACAAAAAAAGACAGGGAAAAGAATTCTAGCAACTGAAAGCTGAGTTCGTTAATGCATACATTATTATCGTGGATTCGCAAGATGATTTTACGAGACTAAGGCGGAATACAATTTTGTGACGATTCGTACCATTCGCATACTTGCGCTGCAGGTGCAAGTGCCGCTGCTAATAGAATCTGATGGAAAGCATGCACGCGACAGAGACAGAGAGAGAGAGAGAGAGAGAGAGAGAGAGAGAGAGAGAGAGAGAGAGACAGAGGGAGGGAGAGAAAAAGAGAGAGAGAGAGAGAGAGAGAGAGAAAGAGAGAGAGAGAGCGAGAGGGAGGGGAAGGAAGGGAGAAAGAAAGAGAGAAAAAGAGAGAAATATGTAGGAAAACGGAACATAGGGGCATTGCCTCGTGCATCCCGAGTGATCTAGTTTGTATCGCGTGATAGTAGCAGGCCGGTGATGAGCGATGATGAGCGAATAATTCATCGTGCGCACCCCCACCAGGAACAAAAGTTAATCGGTCACGTATACGTGCACATTACACACCCTTAAAAGGTAATTCCGAGTATCTTGCCAGAGTTACTTACCCCATCGTTTCCTTGCCCGATGTCATATAAGAGGCTCCCTAGTCGAACAATCGCATAAATAGTGTCGTGAGCGCGTTCAATGCGAGCGCGCCGCGGCTATTTTCGGAGCGGAACAGGCGAGATTTCCTGAGAAACGGTCGAGAACCGTTCGACCGTGGGCTGGGATACGCCAGTTGACAGCCGCCATCGGCCAAACTCTCTATATCGAACAACGGCGACGATCACGCGACAACGTAGTACATAGTCGTGAGTCTCACCACGGTCTGCCTGGATTTAATCGATTTTCCGCGAAAGGTTCTGCCATTCGCCGTTAACCTCGCTGTAACTCGCCGCTTTGATCACTCAAATTCACTAATAGTGAATTCGGTAGCTTGCACTAGTGCGCACCAGGGTTGGGATATTTGATAAATTCTAGGGTTTTTTATATTAAGCCAGCGGCACACGATGCTTGTTTTCGTGTTGAATTGCTTGCTGCATGGAAATACTCTATTCTGATTGGCCCGTCTTCAGAAATGCACCAATCAGAACAGACTATTTCCATTCAGCAAGCAATTTAGCACGAAAACAAGCATCGTGTGCCGCTGGCTTTATACGTGACAAGGAGCTTCCCAACTGACCACGTTAGGATTGGACACAACCAACCGATACAAAGAATTATCTAGTGAATTACCAGGTCGAACCAATTATTACAATCTGTGTCCAATCGTACCGTGGTCAATCGGGTCCCACCCTACGTAATATCATGCATATTACGTAAAATATGTAAAAAACGTAGTATACATGTATAAAATATCTAATGCCCGGTTTTACTAACGCAAGATAATCAAATCGGTTAATTGACTCAACGGAATTGTCTAATCGCATTGTCCAATTGCTAAGCTGATCCATGCGATTGACAATTTAATTTAATTAACTCGTGTTGAAACCGAGTCTAAACTTAAAACTATCTAACCTTATCTAAAATCATGAAGTAAGAGAAAAAGAGGTCGAAATCTTTTTTTTTTATTTATTTGATTGATTGATTTATTAATATTGCAAAGCACTGAGGTCGGTGCCCCATTAAGATGCGTTTAGATGGAGAAAGAAATAGCGGAACGGAACAGTTACGGAAAAGAGATATAGGGTCAGCCAATCAGAGTAATTTCATTTTTATTCCGTTCCGTTGTTTGATAGGTGGGTTTCACATGGCACGGAACGGAACGGAACATAGTAACAAAAATATTATTGATATTTACTTATATATATATCAATGAAATAATGCTTAAGTAATGTTTAAATTTTCAATATTTGAAATGTATCATTAATATATGTAAGTAAATATCAACGATACCTCTCAAATATTCGCTAATTTGCCATAATAAATAGTCTTTTCGTTTTCTCCGTCGCGAGAAACACGTTATAAACCGGATACACCTTATCACACGCAATTTTCAATGTCGATAGGTTAGAATGTTTTTTGTTTTTGTTCTATTCCGTAACAGTTCCGTGCTATGTGAAATCTATTTATTAAACAACGGAACGGAATGAAAACGGAATTATTCTAATTAGCTGATCCCCACCATATTTCTTTTACGTAATGGCTCTTGCACACAGAACGCGGTAACGCTTTCGCGCGGTGGAAGTTTGCGTGACAGCCAATCAATATGTTGCTTTTCCGTGAGAGCTACAAGATTATTACGGAAAGCAGCATATTGATTGGCTATCACGCGAACTTCCGCCGCGCGGCAAGTGTTACCGCGTTCTGTGTGCAGGAACCATATCTGTTCCGTTCTTTGACTATATAACCATGGACCGTTAGCGGCGATTCTAATGGCTCCTACACACAGAACGCGGTAATGCTTGCCGCGCGACGGAAATTCGCGCGACAGTCTATCAATTATTGTTTTTCCGTAAGAACTAGAAGATTATTACGGAAAGCAATATATTGATTGGCTGTCGCGCGAATTTCCGCCGCGCGGCAAGCATTACCGCGTCCTGTGTGCAGGAGCCATAAGAGTCTGTCAACATCTGTAGCGTCGCCAAGACCAAACAACGGCAAAAGAAGGAACTCAGTAGAGCAAAACAGAGTTAGCAACGTAAACGCTTCTAATATCCGCTTATCACATGGTGATACGTATTGGAAAAACCTAATAGTATAGTAGAAATAATAAAAAGAATTAGACTTTCTTGAAAACCACAAATACTTTATAACAAAATTAATTATAGAAAATTATGTTAAAATTGTTATGAATTATGAAGGAAAATTAATGAGGCAAAAATGTCAATATATCAGACATAAATTGACAAAAATTATTTTATTGCAAGGACAATAATATACCATCATTTGGAATAACTTTTATATCACTGATATGAAAGTTCTACCTTTATCCGTTTAATGATGCCATATATTTTTGTAAGTCGTTGTAAATTGTTCGAAGTTACTCCGGTGTTCCAAGTTACCTCAAAGGACGGTATTTTAAATAATGTTTTAAAAAATGTTGAACGTCATTTTATAATATTACATATATATTATATAGACATTTTTAATATATATATATATATATTTTTTATTCATATATTATATATCTTTTATTCATATATTATATATCTCTTATAATATAAATATATTATATAAATATTACATATTTTTATGTAATATAATAAATACAAATTTTGTATGAAATTATATAAATATTTTATTTTGTGTTTTTATATTTTCCTTGCAAATCAGATTTTTTTTCTTGTTACTTTAAAAATTGTTGATTTTTATATTATAGCAAAGTTTTATAACTTTTTTTTTAATGTAATAATTTATTTGAAGAAAAAACGAAAAAGTCTGTTATTGACGATTAAAGAAATATAATAATTTTTTATGTATTTTAATGATAACTGCAATTTATGATCACGGATACATATACAAAATATCTTTCACATGGTAAAATAGAAATTACAAATATATGATAGTTTATGTAATAGCCGTTGTTTGGCTCTGGCGGCGCTGCAGATGTTGACAGACGTTTTGCTGCAGACATAAGATAGCGGCTAGCGGTCCATGGTTATATAGTCAAAGATTCCGTTACGCTATTTCTTTCTCCATTTGAACGCACCCTTAGGCGGAAATTCTTAGAACGGAACGTGCGCACTAATCACAGTTAAACGAGAAGCACACATTCTTGCATAAAGACATATGCACAACGCATAAGATAATTAACCAATCAGAATCCTCATTTCTATTGCCACGATGAAAATGAAAGACTCTTAGCGAATTCGGTTGCTTGCACTAGTGTGCACTGAGTGCGCACTAAGGCTTGTTCATAGTATGTTATTATATTTAAAGATTGTCTTAAATAATTCTCAAATAAATTCTCAAATATTTTTAACCATAATATGATATGTATAACATCCGTACGAATCATTTTATTAGTTAAAATGTTTTTAAATATGTATTTAAGACACGATCTTAAATATAAGAATGTACTGTAAACAAGCCTTAATGCGCACTCAGTGCGCACTAGTGCAAGCTACCGAATTCGCTATCTGATTGGGTAATTTACTTGTGCGTTATGCATTATGCCTTTATGCAAGAGTGTGTGCTCCCCGCTTTACTTAAATCTATTCACGAAAAGAACGGAGTAACTGTGATTGGTGCACGCGTTTCGTTCCGCTAAGAATTTTGGTGTATATCAGTTGGACACGGGGCAATTGGACACAGTCCAATCATAAGTCGCTGTTCCAAGGGACCCTACAAATGTCTCTAATCACACGGTGCTGTGATTGGCTGTGTCCAAATGCACCGTGTCCAAGTGCACCGCTCCCTAAGAATTTTCGTCTAATGGGACACCGGTCTGATTATAAGCGTTTACACAAAAACGTTAATCTGGTTTCTATCTTTCTTTCTTTCTCTCTCTCTCTTTTTTTATATGTTTTCAGATCTTCTTTGGCCCTTTCACCAATTACCGTTAATAATATGAGGGGAATCTTCAAAAAACGCAAAGGCACGTTCAAAGAAAATTATGGTTCTGATTGGTTTTCCTGTTTTCTGCTTTTCTATCAAAGTATGAATTCATCCTTAACCACCCTTATAGAAATATCATACTAAGAATCATTGATAATTATTTTCAGTATTAAAAATACTGGATAATAAGTAATTATCAATGATTCTTAGTATGATATTTCTATAAGGGCATCATAGGCTGCGTTTCAAAATTCTACACGGTGAGTAGAGTACATTTAATTGACCAATCATAATAAAGAAATTCTATCTTTGTTCTTATTGGTCAATTAAATGCTCTCTTTGGAATGCAGCCACATATGATAAGAAATGGCATGAAGTTTCAGCAATGGCCTGAAGAGACCACAGACTTCTATATACTGCTAGACTGCTAACTTCGACTCAGTACATGGTCCCGAAAAATATGTATAGAAATCTCGCGCATGCGCCTATTTGGTGTTCCGACATTCACAATGTAGCATCTCGTTTTAGAAATTATTGAACTCTGATATAGGTATACAATTGATCAATCATTTATTTTCACAAATTTTTTACTGTAACATTTTACTCTGACGTTTTTCACTCTGTACGTACACAAATATTTAAACAGGTGGAATCGGCCATATTACATTTATATCCCCTCTTCTTCTGGAACACCAATTTCAGGCATGCGTAGACTGCGTTCAGATTCCACACCCGGATGTATTTTATTACTAGAAGTGCTATAGTATGTGTAACATATACTGTAGTGTTTCTAGTAATAGAGTACACCCGAATGAAGAATCTGAACGCACCCCAGATGTCTTTTTTTTCGTACGTAATACATACTGTTCGAAGTCAATTTTACATAGCATTATATAAGGAAATTAGCATGCTAATAGTTATATAGAAGTCTGTGGAAGACACGCATATAGCATTCGATGTATTTTACAGTAAAAAATTAAGTACATAAAATACTTAGTATTTTACATGTTTAAAATTGTGTAATTTACATCAAGTATTTTACTTGCCTAACCCTGGTGCCCACTGAGTGCGAGTTAAGGCTTGTTTACAATACATTATTATATTTAAGACCGTGTCTTAAATACATATTTAAAAACATTTTAGCTAATAAAATGATTCATACGGATGTTATACATATCATATTACTGGTTAAATATTTGAGATTTTATTTAAGACCATCTTTAAATATAATAACATATTATGAACAAACTTTAGGGTGCAATCCCATGTAGCGGAATAGTAGAGCGCGGAACGAGAGTGGAACTAATCACGAGCGTTCCATAGTTTTCGCTCGTGATTGCTTCCTCTCATGATTTGTTCCGCTCTTGTCTGCGTTCCGTTATTCCGCTGCATGAGTTTGCACCCTGACACTGTGCTACACGGTGTCGCCTGTGTTCCTTGCTGGGAAGCACCTTATTGGCTCCTGCACACAGGACGCGGTAATGCTTGCCGCGCGGCAGAAGTTCGCGCGACAACCAATCAATATGCTGCTTTCCGTAATAACCTTCTAGCTCTTACGGAAAAACAACATATTGATTGGCTGTCGCGCGGTCTTTCGCCGCGCGGCAAGCATTACCGCGTCCTTTGTGCAGGAGCCATATGAATACCGGCCTATGGCTGCCCGGAGAAATTCTCTATCGAACACCAATTGTATCCAACAGCCAATCGTAACATCCGACGACAAATAAAATGACATTTCAGAATTTGGCGGGAAAAGCGAAATCGCGTATTTGGAAAAATTTTATTCCCGAACGAGATGTACGTTGCGTTGTTTGATGTAACATACGTTTTCGCTATTACAACGGTTTCTCTCTGCAGCGGAAAAGGAACGAAATAAATGAAACAAAGTGGATACTGATGTTGATAAATATGTCATCGTCTTTCCAAAGAAAAAAAGAAAAGGACTTCAAGATGCACAATTCTTTCTAATAATAAATACGTCCCTGACTATTATATGTATACGTATAGAGTTCATTTGTTAATAGTTTTCATCATCAAACATAAATCGAGCATCCGTGCGATGTGACAACAGTAACATTAATACGTCGCTTCTAAGCAACGTGAAGTAACTCGTGATTATAATGCCTATATAGCATTGTCTGTAAATTGTTGGTAGCGGTTAATAATCATTCTTCTGCGTGGGACTATTTTCTACCAACGCCTGTCGAGGTTAAGAGATGTGAGAAGTCAGAAAAAACGAGTAAACGTTCTATATGAAATTGCTTTGGGAGCGTTACTTCAGGGGTTACCAGTGATCACTAGTGATTATCAGTAGTAATCGTTGTCTCGAGCGGTGCAAAAAGTCGAGAGCACAAATTATTAATCTCTAGTGTCATCTTGAAATATGAAAGATGGAATAATGAATATCCTGAGCAGGACACAGAAAAATTATTGTCGTTGTGTTATCTAGCTTCTGTAGAGCATTTTTATAATGTCTTATTGTCTCAGTACTTGTGTACTGTCTCAGTACTGAAGCGATCAAGTATGATACACTATATTATCTTCAACCAATGCGAATAGTATGAAGCTGCCGCACACATGTCGGCTACATGTCTCTTGGATACTGTTACTTGGCATCTTTATGATCCATAGTGATTTAAGCAGTGGCAGTAGTTCCAAGAAGAACAATGACAGAGGCTATATTACAAAGTCTGCATACGATATATCCTGTGCTTGCTGCAGTATACAGCAAGTCCAAGTTAAATTCTCTACCAAGATAGTCGAGAACGAGTACATAGTTGCATTTAAGGGTTATTACAGACCCCACACACGGAGAAACTACATAGCAGCTGCGTTAAATTCATCCGGCATCAATAACTGGACAATTTTACATCGTAACAATTTGGCGTCTCGCTTCCCTAGCGACTTTGACATTGTACTATTACAGGGAACAGTCAGACACCATGGGCTGAATGCTTTGAGCAATCATCCGCTTGTAAAAAGAGTAACACCACAGAGACTTGTACGTAGAAGCTTAAAGTTTATCAACACCACGACAGATGACTCTGATATTCCAGAATATAGAGAGCTGAAAAGACGAGCCAATACTTATGTGAGTATGAAAATCAAGTATGATGAGTATGAAAATTATGACATGGAATAGTCATCCACGAAAGATGCCTCAAACATATTGCAAGATAGTTTATAGGATATCGATATGATGAATAAAACTTGAATTTTAAAATATACAGAATGTGCTAGAGCAAATGACCAGTCGCCATTCGTCTCGGAAACTATTGAGAGCTATACCAAGACAAATCACGCATATTCTTCAAGCTGACGTATTATGGGCGAGGGGTATTACCGGAAAGGGTGTAAAAGTAGCTATATTCGATACTGGACTGGCTGTTAGTCATCCACATTTCAAGAAGATCAAAGAGAGATCAAATTGGACAAACGAGAAAACTCTGGAGGATGGCTTAGGTCATGGAACATTTGTGGCTGGTGTCGTTGCGTCAACTTCCAGGGACTGCTTGGGTTTTGCACCGGATGCAGAACTGCACATTTTTCGCGTCTTCACAAATGCCCAGGTATATATGTGTGTGTGTGTGTGTGTGTGTGTATAGAACATAGTATAGAATAAGGGGCTAAGAACAGCTAAATCCAACTTCTTAGTCTTTTGAAGAAAAGCTTCTTCAAAGGAGAAGCGAGTGGGTACTAAATGCGTTAATAACGCATATCAGCAGATAAGAAACAATGATGAGAAGGTTCTTCGCACAGCTATTCGGTTTATTTTAGATCGCGGTGTATAGCCGACAAGGACGTCAAATGCAACAATTCACGTGATTTTTATTTTCGTTCAATAATTTTTGTCTTTGTAATGTTTGATTTATCATTGGACGTTTTCTCCTCACAATAATAGGATGTTTGAAAAACTCCATTCTTAGCTTTGAACGCCTATATCTAGGAAATTATTGTGAATTTTATTCATGTTTGTAGAAAGTTTTCTTTCTCAATTGATCTCGGGAATACGCCTCTGAGTATATGTAGTTTGTTACGGGACATTATTCTGTATAGCATAGTATTTGTAATTTCACAATGTATTTTTCTCACTTTTCCTTTCGGTTTGATACAGGTATCCTATACTTCGTGGTTTTTGGATGCGTTCAATTATGCTATACTCAGCAAGGTGACAGTGTTGAATCTAAGCATTGGCGGTCCAGATTTTATGGATCATCCGTTCGTTGATAAAGTGTGGGAACTTACAGCCAATGGTGTTATTATGGTGTCGGCAATCGGCAACGATGGGCCTTTATACGGGTAAACAACATGTTTACTTATCTCGACAATCATCTAGTCTTATCGAATTACAATTCTAATTCTACCTACTTTCTACAGCACTTTAAACAATCCTGCCGATCAAATGGATGTAATTGGCGTAGGAGGTATCAATTGGGACGATCAAATAGCGAGATTTTCTTCGCGTGGCATGACCACGTGGGAATTGCCGTACGGATACGGAAGAGTCAAACCCGATCTGGTCACGTACGGGTCTGGAGTAAAAGGATCCGCCTTGCGGAAAGGATGTAGAACTCTCTCCGGCACTTCCGTGGCCAGTCCCGTTGTCGCTGGCGCGGTTGCACTCCTAGCCAGCGGATTTGTAGAAACGGACGAGTCAAAGGCTGCTAAGCAGAAGGTATAATCGATCTGAAGATGTATCGTAAGAGCTAACCCATTTGTGCATATAACGTGACGAACATTTACAAGGTAACGCCAGCGAGTATGAAGCAAGCGTTACTAGGATCAGCTCGTCGCTTACCTGGAATCGGTATGTTTGAGCAAGGTGCCGGGAAGCTAGATCTCTTGCGGGCATTTCAGTTTTTACAGTCGTACACACCTATCGTCACACTTAGTCCGAGGTGAGCCCTTTTCTTCCTTCGTGATGTCGATGTGACGTTGCGCTCGGTTCCGCATTGTTGTGCGTGTTTTTAGCCGCATTATATCGACGATTATACCGACGAGTAATTCTGGATATATAATGTGTGAACGCGAATGGGATACAATTCACGAATTTTTCACTTCTGGTTGAACGATTACAGTTACATAGATCTGACCGAGTGCCAATACATGTGGCCGTACTGTACTCAAGCTGTCTACCATACCGGCATGCCCACAATAGTCAACGTTACTATAGTAAATGGCTTGGGTGTGTCAGGACATGTGGTCAATCTTACCTGGCATCCGTACACCGGTGACGGCAACGGCCAGCGTATCGACGTGGCATTTACGTACAGCGACGTTTTATGGCCATGGTCGGGTTGGTTGGCAATCGCTCTAACAGTCCCTTCGACATCCCGCAACTGGCAAGGCGTCGCGCACGGTTTATATGACATTTCTTTCATTTTTCGTGTAATACACGCGCTGTGCTGTGTACATATGTTATATTATACTAGTTAGATTATCTTCATATTTGCAGGCTACGTCTCTCTCACGATCGAATCACCGGCGTGCGACGGTGAAGATAAGCCGCGGCAGTCGACGATAAAACTCCCGTTGAAGGCAAAAGTCATACCTACGCCTCCTAGACAGTAAGTAAATTGTGCTGACCAAGTAAATCCATCTCGTCTGTTTCTTTCTATCGTTTTACGTTTCTATCGTTATTTATCGTTACTTTCTATCGTTTCGTATCGTTTTTCAGCAAGCGCATTCTGTGGGATCAGTATCACAACTTGCGCTATCCACCCGGATATTTCCCCAGAGATGACCTGCGCGTAAAGAATGATCCTCTGGATTGGAATGGAGATCATATACACACTAATTTCAAGGACATGTATCAACACCTACGCAACGCCGGCTATTACTTCGAAGTACTCGGCCATCCGTTCACCTGTTTTAACGCGAGAAATTACGGAACACTGCTCATCGTGGACACGGAGGAGGAATTCTTTCCCGCGGAAGTATGCATGGCGCGAATATCGGGAATGTGCTGATTTTTGTAATAAAATCGCATTTATTCACTTGAAATTTATCAACCGCAGGTGGCCAAGCTGAAGCGAGATGTGGAGGACGACGGTCTCTCGGTGATCGTGTTTGCGGACTGGTATAACGTGACAGTCATGCGAAAGGTCAAGTTTTACGACGAAAACACTCGTCAGTGGTGGATACCTGATACAGGTGGTGCCAATATTCCCGCTATAAATGACTTACTCTATCCTAATTGGGGTGTGGCGTTCGGCGATGAGGTGCGAAACGGTCATTTTACTCTCGGCCAACATGCACCGGTCACATTTGCATCCGGCACTACACTCGCCAGGTAAAAATAAGCGGATTGTATATTACAGTATAGGGCGTTTTGAGTAGTACCATGCGGCACCAAGCTTTCAATGTGCATATAGATTTCCAAAGGACGGAGTAATTTTATATGCTGAGTTACAAGATCAGGGCCGAGAGTTTCTTCTAGAAAAGGAATCAGGTGCATGTAATCTCGTTCCCATTCTCGGACTTTTGCAAGTGACCAGCGAGAATACCGTTAAAATAACGCACAACGACGAAATTCACGATCAAGTTGCGCAAGATGAGAGGCAGGAGAAGAATCGTGCGAGAGAACGCACTGTGCTACCTGGTAGACTCGTTGTTTACGGTGACTCAAATTGCATCGACGACAGCCATTTGCAAAAATGTATGCATGTTACAATGAGAGATATAATACAAAGTAATTTTAAACATTAAAATCGATATGGAACATACAATGTTGCGAAGCCCTTTAAATCGTAATTCCTTTTCGTGTAAATTTTTGCAAATTTACTTTCTCTCTCTCTCTCTCTTTCTTTCTTTCTTAATTGAAACATTACTTACTGAAATGATTGTCATGGTTATTTTTCTTTACATTTAGCCTGCTTCTGGATGCTCGACGCCATTTTGGAGTACACAACGACGGGTTACATACCCACTGTTTTTACGGATGAAAATGAAACGAAACGCAAAACCGTTAAAACAATCGATAATCTAGAGATTGGGGAATTACCACGTCGAATGGAGGGAAATCATTTGAGCCGTCATAGCAAAGTATTAACGGATGACGGGCCGGCGGGCGGTTTCAGATCTCTTCCGTCGTGTCCTACAGCCGTTTACGCTGTACCACTACCAGTCAATGAAACTGTGCCAATGTAAATGATTTCGTATCAATACAGATGTTTGATTCAATACATTAATTATGTTACGATATATCACTAAGGGCGCGACGTGACAGATAGAATAATGTAACCAATAGTTGCTTGACTTCAAAAGAATGAACGATTATTTCTTGTGCAAAGCGGATTATATGCTTGTGCAGTTTATTGTTGTCGGTTATCTTTGGTTATCTCTGTGCACGAGCGCTATAAATGTTCTCATTCGTACGCTTTTCTCTGTTACTTTTACAGGAATCTTTACAAATCCCACAAGGTACTTTCCGTGAGTAACACCATGAATATGGGAAACCCAGTGTTGCAGGAAGAAACGGACGCCTTGTGGCTCAAAAGACGAGTTGGTGGTGCTAGCATACCTACGCTGCAGAATATGGGCGTTGGTAGTGTGACTTATGATGTGGACAGAGTGGTCGAAGAAGATAAACCAGCCATTGTAAATCAGTGGAGCTTTATATTAGGAATAATTATTGTAGTGACATTTGTCGTGTATTTGTGGAATCAGTGGACCTGTTTGGTAACGAAGAGACATTCCCGCAGAAAGCGCACCGTTGGCAGGATACGTAGAGTCATTCAAGCTATCGCCATGCGTAGAGTACCACAGATGTAGTTGTATAAGAATCTGACAAGAATTTATTACTCGTGTAAAACAAGACTACAATTAATGTGTAAATAAAAACTTTACGCCCATAAGGCTCTTACATTAGTCGTGCAAGAAACGAACGAGACAGGTCTTACGTTTAAGCACTTGATAACTTAATACACTGACGAATACTCCACATATGTCCATTAGATCGTACCGTATAACATATGTTGCGTGCCTTTTTCAACAAAATGTGCAACAATGGGCAATTGTCCAACGCGAATTCACAGATAAAAAAAAAAAAATATATCTATATATATATATATATATATATATATATATATATATATATATATATATATATATATGTCTTTATA